ATCACAAGTTTTGATGAGCGATGTTTTTTGAGGAAGAAGAGCTGGTAGGATGCCGCTGCTGCCGCTGCCACTGAATGGGCAGTTTCTTGTACTCAGTTGACAGACTAGAAGTAAATAAGTTTATTCAGGTATACACAAATACAGTTACATAGATTATCATACATAGCAGTGTATGTATAGAGAACCTAGGATAACCCAGAAAAGTCAGACAGTGACTTATTTCCAGTACCTGGCTTGGGCTTGCCATATGATTTTTTTTTTTTTTTTTTTTGGTAAATATTTTTTTTTCTCGGTTGTTTGTTGGGCTCTCTCATTGAAACTTGGGCAATGTATGATGGAAAGATGCTTCTTAACGTACAACAAAAATAAAAAAGACGGACAATAAATAAGCCATTAGCCGCCTCTTCGCAGTATATTTTCATATGGTTTTTATGGTTGTATTCTCATTTTTTGGATTCATTTGATAGAATGGAAGATATATTACAGAAATAGACACTGATTTTGATTGCTTTCATGACGAAAAGTACCTTGAAATAGAGCTCAAAGCAGCGGAAATGTTTGATTTTTGCAGATGTTCAATGACTGTGTAAGTCAAGTTGGTTAATTTTATTAAGTGTATTCTAACCTAACCACTCTGTAATTCGGCCAACTCAGTAATTCCGGCAAACTACAGGTCCCAATGATCCGGATTGTGAGGAGGACCCTGATAGCGGATTGTATGTAGAACAATAAATTAATGCACAATAAAGTAATAAACGAACTAATGCACCACAGTAATGTTAGTGTGTAATCTGTGTAGTGTGTGTGTCAGCTGTGTGTGTGTTGTGTGTGTGTGTGTGGGTGTGTGGTGTGTGGTGTGTGTTTAAGGACACTTATCTAATCTGTTACAGAAATGTCAGCTTTCCTAAGGAAGGTAGAGAAATCATGTTCATTTCAGATGGTATATTGTTGTCCTGTTGATGTTTTCCTAACTAGTATTTTCCCATCCCGAGTGAAACACTGATGTATTTTGTTTAACTGTTTTTCTCAACCTGAACAGAAGGTTTTGACGTTTTCTCGTTAGACACTCGTTGATGAACACTCCATTTTTCATTGTAATTACTGATTTAATTAAGTCCTTTCTTTTATCATATGAATGAAGTCTGATCATAATGCTGTGTTTACTACCTTGTTTTCCTAGCAAACGTTTTTCTTTTATTTCATTGTTTTGCGAGATAACTTTTGCGTGGTCCTGTATTATCCTGATAGCAGTATCTTTGCACTGGACTTGGGTTATGTCACTAGGAATGTGAGGGCTGTTTATTATAACTGCATCTGACAGCTTATCTTCAGTTTCGTCGTCTTGTAAATCAAGGTATTCATTCAGTCAAGTGTGCAGGTTCTGATTCCAGTCCTTGATTGCTTCTTCAACCTTTATATTTAGGGTTGTTATTTGCTCAGTGTGACTGGCTATGGCTGTTTTCAGAGTATTTTCTGTATTAGCGCTTCCCGATGTAATCTTCTCTTCAAGGTTTTGGATCTTGTTCTCGAGGTTGGTTATCTTGGATTCTTGTTGCGCTAGTGTTGCTTTAATAACTTTGATTTCGTTTTCTAGAGTGACGATGTAGTCCCTGATATTGTGAGGAATAATCATACCTGAGTTATGAGTGAATCCTTTGAGGGGAGTGGAGTTGGAGGGGGAGTCAGCCATGTTTGTTGTTGTTTTTCCCTGGGTGGTGGTGAGGGGGTTGATGATACACCAGCTTCCTGCTGGGTAGACAGGTTGAGTTGTAGGGTCCTTGGCGTTATTCTTTTCTTACTGCTGTTGATTCTTCTGCGATATCCTTTCGTAGTATCACTAAAGTAGATACTGTGTAGCTATGGAGGAGAAGGCTTTATTTCCCTGAGCTTGGGTTAAGTGGTTGTCTGGCAGCAGAGGCAGTGTTTGGGTTAGCAGGGCTATCTTCCTTAGATCTATTTTGTCAAGATTTGGGTTACATTCTTAGTATTCTTGGGTCATTCTGTGGTCTGGGTTCATGTAGTTGTACCTTCAATTAGGCCATCACAAGCTTTGATGAGCGATGGTTTCTTGAAGAATAACAGCTGGTAGGATGCCGCTGCTGCCATGTGTTATTACAGCGTGTAACTATTTGTGTATACCTGAATAAACTTTCTTATTTATAAATTACATATATTGTTTAAGTGTGAATAGTGTTGGTAGCTTCTGGTGCCACCTTCACCACCACTAATATGTACGGCTTCTCTCAATGGCCCTTATAACCCAGCACCACCACCAACACTGCTTTCTCCTCTCATACATTGACATATTTTATTAATTCTAGAGTATATATCATGGTTGTGTGTTATTAATATTTTTTGTCATATTAGATGAATTGTGATAGATAAATAAGTCAGAGATATTAGTGTCATATTGAAGCATCATAAACTCTCTTCCCTCTTGCCTCCTACCTTCTCCATACAGTCAATAAAGGTAAGTGTGATGTTAAATGTTCATTTATCCATTTTATTAGTGCTTTATATTTGTCATTGTTTTCTCTATGTAAATCTGTATTTAACCCCTTGACTGTCGCAACCCCCAATCCTGTGGTATCTCCTGGTATTGCAAAATTTAAAAAAAAAAAAAAAATTTTTTTCTTATGAAATGATAGAGAATCTTTTCCCGATTGTAATGACACCAAAAAAACGAAATTTGATAGAAAACTGACGGAATTACGGTCTCGCGAAGTTAGCGACCTCGTCGATATTTACAAATTGGCGATTTTGCCCACTTTGAGCCCTATTTTCGGCTAATTCCATTGTTCCAGTCGACCTAACTCATAGCTATTTCTTTAGAACTCCATTTTTTCTATCGATTGAGTACAAGAAACAGCCCATTTACCAATTTCAACTACCCAATAATGTGGTCAGAAATTTGCAATTTGGCCAATTTCACGAAAATTAAAAAATGACAATTTCAAAATAAGGTCCAGAATGAACAATGCAGACATTCCTGGTTCTAAAATAACATTTTCTTTGTTCATCAGTCATGTCTCCAGGCCCTTGTGATATTACTCTTGCTTTCTATTTTGAATTTTTATTCAAACAAAAAAATAGAAGATTTACTATTATGCAGACTACTGCAATACTGTAATAATTGTATAAATAACATCAACCCATTCATGACTGCATATTAGAATGGCTAGTTGGACATTTATTGGACAATGACATCATTTGTTTACTTTTGAACATGGGCAAAAATCAAACATTTCCCATCCTTTGAGCTCCATTTCCAGGTTCTTTTTATAGTAAAATCAATCAAAATCACCTATTTCTATAATATGTTTTCTATTCTATCAAATGAGACCAAAAATACAACCATAAATACTATACGAAAATAGACCACAAAGTCTGCATTTTAATTAAAAAAAAAAAAAATGGTCGGAGTTTTTTTCTTTTTTCTAATTATGCACTGCGTGCTCCAGGATTTTTTTTATATGGTGCACACTGACCACACAGACCCATTCTCTCACATGTGGGCCTATCAGCTTTCTACTTCTTGATTTGAAGCCGCTAGAATTTGAGTATATATATGTCAAACACGGTACCTCGTAAGACGTATATATACGGCCGCGACAGTCAAAAGGTTAATCTTTAAAAAAATTACTTTTTGTTAATATTTTTCCATGTCTGAAACAGATGAATTGTATTTACATTATTTCTTATGGGAAAATGGATTCACCAATCGCGAATTTTGCCATTAGGCAGACTCTCTGGAATGGATTAATCATGAAACTTGGGAGTCCACTGTATAACAAAGCCCCCCTCCCCCCAAAAAATGACAGTAGCCATATTGTTCATAATAAATCTTGGGTTGTACGTTTGCATATTGTCTAGAAAATAATGGTGATAAAAGATTGGTTAATTTTAGATGACTGCACAACAGTTAGTTCTACAGCCCTCGTGGAGATGACTGTATGGTATGCTGCTGAACAGTGGACTTGTCAAGTACGAGCATGTTTGTTACAAACTTTCATCAAATACTGTGTTAAAATTTATAGAAATAGTTTGCTTGCTGGATAAGATAATACTACTTCCATTGTTATGTAAGTAGAAAGAAAAACATTTCTCATTTGTAGTTAGGAATAAGAGAATCCTGAGTTTATGTAAATGGTATTTCTTTTCATTATGGGGAGGGCACAACAGGTAAACTGATAAATGAATGGAATGGATAAAGATGGTACATAGTATACTAACACTTCTAGGAAACTCCAAACTTAGCTCACTCAAAACCACAGACCTTGATATTAATGCTGTATTTTTTTTTATTGCAGATGTCAAAGGTACTACCAATGCAGCTGGATGCTGCCAATGCCCACACACAGGTGGACCACATGTGTGCCCTGGATATAGATTCTCGCCCCTTCTCAAAGCGACTTTCAGGCATCATTTGTACAATTGGTAAGTGCATTTTAGTGCTTCCAGTAAAAATTTATCAAAGTATAGAAAATTTTAATTCTGCTTGGAGTTGCTGGAATAAATTTGTGAAATTAACCTCATTCATATATATGGTACATTGCTTTATATAAATTATGCTCTTGCTGTTTATCTGACATGCTGCTTGTTAAAAAAAAAAAAAAATTCCAATTGTTAATTAACTAGATTTGCAGGGATAGTATTTCATTACTAAAATGACCTTGTGCATTAGATCTCATTTAAAAAAAAAAAGGCTGGCAAGTACATTTTTCCATAAAGCATTCATTTAAAAAGTAAATTTCCAAAAAATTACCTGAAATGGAAATATGGAAATGATAGTTTGCCATTTCTTAGTAAGGAGAAAAATGGAGTGGTAGGCATTTGTTAATATATCTATTTTAATGCACTTCATATTTCTTTGTAACTAAATTAGTAGATAATCACATTGAAAATTTTGGGTTACTTTTTTCAGGATAAAATTAGTTACAGGATGTCATACCTTGTTTGACTTTTACTACCTGAACAGTAAGGTATCTGGGTGCTAGATTGTGGGTTGCTATGCTTTTTGGGTTATCCTTGTTAAACCAGAATTATGCTCTTTCTTACGCATGTTTCCTAGCACTCCTTTTTATTGTAAATTAATAATTGAGCAGTTAATTAGTTTTTGATGCAGTAAATCCCCTTGAGGGAGGTATTTTGATGCCTGAGCTCTTCAACCAAGGAACTGAACTTATCTTATTCTTCCTTGGATTAAGCCTGAATGCTTCCCATTTCCCATGTACTATTTATTTACTTATTTAATTTGAACATGATATATAGATGTAGAAAGAAATACAGCGGTTAAGTGTAAAATGCCAAAAGCCCCTTGCATGCAGAGCATTATGGGCAGGCTTAAAATTAACTTAAGATTAACTAAGCAATGATATAATCAGTGGTAAAAATTATAGCGAACAAATAACCACAAATGAATATTTCAAAGACAGGTCATGTGGTCATTTGCTGAGTTGCTGTGCATTCAGTAGAATTGAGTATTCTATTAGGTTTGATAGAATTGAGTATTCTATTAAAGTTTGATAGGGTCACAGGTTATACATTTATGAGATACAGTTATTCAGTATTTTAGTTATGGGTGAGTAAGTGATTTTTGAGAAGACTTGAATTTATAAACAGTGTTTTTTATATTCACAGGTAATGAATTCCAGATTTTTGGGCCTTTTTATGTACGAGTTTTTGCATAGTGTGAGATGGACACGAACATCCAAGAGTGATCTGTGCTTTGTGTTATGGTCATGTGTTCTGTTGAGGTTGGTAAGGAGAAGTTTGAGGGGAGGGTTAATATCTGAGTTAAGTGTTCTATGTAGATACAATAATAAGTATGGATGTTTTGTACGGTGAGTAGGTTTAGAGTTTGGAAATATTGGCGGAGTGTGCTGTCTGTAGTGGGAATTTATCATTCTGACTGCAGTCTTTTCTTGGGTAATTAGTGGTCTGAGATGGTTTATTGTTGTTGAGCCCCATGCACAAATTCCACAGGTGAGATAGGGGTAAATGAGTGAGTGATATAGGGCCAGGAGGGCTGACTGTGGAACATAGTACTGTATCTTCGATAGTATGCCTATAGTTTTGGAAATTTGTTGTACATGTGTATGAAATTTGAGTATATTATCAAGGTGGATTCCAAAGAATTTTTCCTCTGAGCTTTGTGATAGGTGATCCGTTTATCATTGTTACAAGGGACATCTGTAGCTCTGTTTCCAAACTGAATGAAGTAGGTAGATATTTTCTGTAATTCGGTATTTACAATATTGGCTAGCATGATTGGGCTTGGGTGAGAGAAGACGTATGTAGTGTCATCTGCAAATAGTGTGGATTTGAGTAGTTGCGATGCATTTGGTAGGTCATTTATGTAAACGAGAAAGAGAAGAGGGCCAAGGACACTTATCTGTGGGACACCAACTGTAATTGGCTGTGCGGAAGAGTTTGCTCCATTTGTGTACACATACTGGCTTCTGTTGCTGAGGTATGACTTTAGGTAGTTGAGGGAGTGCCCTCTTATACTGTAGAGTGACAATTTTGTGGAGCAAATCATGATCAACTGTATCAAAAGCTTTACGTAAATCAATGAAGATACCCAGTGGAATTTCTTTTTTTCTAGAGTGCAGTGTATATTTGTTCTAGCATGTGTATAATAGCATCATTCGTATTTTATTAGGCCTGAACCCAAACTGACAGGTTGAGTATGTTGTGGGAGATGAGGTAGCGAATAGATTCGCTTATGAATTAATTTCTCAAAGATTTTAGAGAGGGTGTAAGTTGGATATTGGCCTATAGTTATTCAAGTCTGGTCTCCTTTATGTATCGGGGTGACCCTCGCTATTTTGAGAACTGGAGGGAAGGTAGAGGATTCAATGGATTTGTTAGTGTTGCATTGATTGGTGCCATACTTATGATGCTTTTTTGTATATATTGGGTGGTAAGATATTTAACCCTTTCAGGGTCCAAGGCCAAAATCTGAAGTGGTGCTCCAGTGTCCAAGAAATTTTGAAAAAAAAAAAAAAAAAAAAAAAAAAAATTCTTACAGAATTAGAGTATATTTTTGTGAAGGTAATGAGACAAAAAAATTCTGATCAGTACTTACCGAGATACACTGCCGAGAAGTTTACCCAAAATGACTGGGTGGTGGCAACATCGACGATTTCCATGTACACGCATTACTTTATTTAACTTTTTTTTTTTTTTGTAGTTTTTTTTTTTTCTAATTTTTTTCTTTTCCTACTTACATTTGGGGCCTGAGAGACCAATACTGTATATAATGTATATATATATAAACTCGCTGTATTGAACACAATAACCTTCCCTCCTCAAACGCTTGGGTATTTTCTGAGGAATTCGAGGACCTTGTTGTATAGCAGGTATTGTTACCTGGTACTTCATTATGAGTTGTCTGACAACAGACAAACAAAATTCACCATACGGTGGTCTGTTGCCAGTCTTCATTTGGTACATATTATATGCATTGAGCATTGAAATGTCCATGAGATGGAAGAAAAGTTTCATGTACCACTTGTAACTCGTAATGCTATGCATAGTATAAGTGGCTTTGGCATGCTGCTCTTATCTGTATTTTTTTGTACCTCTGTATGTGTGCTCAAATTTTTAAATAAATAAATAAATAAATAAATAAATTACCATATTATTGTTTACCACTTTTGTTTATTACAATAAACATGCACAAATCTTGTATAATACAAATGTTCTATCATATATTTACATATTTACAATCACTGGACATGGTTTTAGAACTGCTGGAGCTTGTGGAACTCCTTGAAACAAGGCACCATGCACAGAGGTACCTTACATTCGTCGCACATAAACAGTGTGTCTTTGCGTCTTTGTTGCCGTCGTTTGGTTGTGCACAGACAAAGCATCTCTTCTGAGCAAATTTCTTCTTAGTTGCAGGAAGCTGTATTATGAAATGATCACCTTCCCTCCTCAAACGCTTGGGTATTTTCTGAGGAATTCGAGGACCTTGTTGTATAGCAGGTATTGTTACCTGGTACTTCATTATGAGTTGTCTGACAACAGACAAACAAAATTCACCATACGGTGGTCTGTTGCCAGTCTTCATTTGGTACATATTATATGCATTGAGCATTGAAATGTCCATGAGATGGAAGAAAAGTTTCATGTACCACTTGTAACTCTTACGAACACAATCAACAAAGCCAATCTGCATGTCACATTTGTCAACCAAGCGCATGTTTTGTGTATAATCAATCACTGTCACTGGTTTTCAACTTTGCCACTGTCTTGCATTTCATTACGGTGAATGGTTGTCAACAATGTGACATCTCGTTTGTCATGCCACCATAATGCCATGATATAATTGGCAGTAAACACCTGCACGTCATCACCATGAGCACCTGCGTTGAACCTGGGCATATATTTACGATAAGAACGCACTGTGCCACACACACACAACACACCTGTCTTGTTCACTCGCAAGAAATCACTGAGTAAAGGGCTTGTGTACCAGTTATCGGTATATAATGTATGCCCCTTACCAAGATAAGGTGCCATCATGCTTCTCGCTACGTTGCCTGAGATACCCAATAACATCTTGGTATCTTTCAGTGTTTTACATCCAGTGTATACAACAGTATCCAATACCAGGCCACAGTCAGTCAGAGTACAAACAGTTTTATACCAAAGCGTTTTCTCTTGCTCGGTATATACTGCTTGAATGACAGCCTACCTTTGAACAAAATCAAAGACTCGTCAATTACAAGATTCTTGAATGGATAAAAGTACATGTTGAACTTTTGTTTGAGATACATAAAAGCATTTCTAATCTTGTATAGCCTGTCACTTCTGTCAGGCCTGGTTTTGTCAGAAAAGTGCAATATACGTAACAGTAAAATAAACCTGTTCACTGGGATGATTTCACTGAAGACCGGGGTATAAATTAGCAGATCTGTGGACCAGTATGCTTTTATATTATGCTTAGACATGAGGCATAAGCATTATTGTTGCAAAAAGCAAATACATTTCTGCAACAGTCATCTCTTTCCACCGGTGTAGTCTTGACTGTGATATGATCGTATTTGCCATGGTGTACTCAAAATACAGTGGTCCCTCGCTTTTCGTAGTTCTCGGCAATCATAGATTTTGGAAATCGTAGGGGTATTTTTGTATAGACATGGGCTCGCTTTTCATAGGTTGACTCGCCAGTCGTAGTTCGTCCGGGACGCGTACCCACGGAGTGAGCCGGGGCGGCAGCCAGTCTGGCATTGTTTACCAGCGAGCGAAGGTCCCCTCACATGCTCCAGCGAAATATTTCATAATATTCCATTTATTTTAGTGCTTGCAAGTACTAAATAAGCTACCATGGCTCCAAAGAAAGCTCCTAGTGCCAAGCCTGTGGTAAAGGTGAGAAATAAGATTGAATTTAAGAAAAACATCATTGAACAATATGGAAGTGGTAC